CTATGAAGGGTGCCACCCATTAATCTAGTACCATGCATGCTTGAGTGACGCCAAGCCTAGCAATGTGTACTAAGTTGGATGCCAGCCTTAGGCTTGGCAAGTATGCTAGAACATGTGGGACTACTCATAAAGGACTGAATCGCATCATCGTTGGAGAGGCTTTTATCAATACAAAACTTTCAGAACAGTGCTGATGTTTTTTTAGGTTTCCATATTAGCTGCATAGTACAGACATTCGACTAGTAGTGGCATAGAACAAAATGAATCCTGTGTTGTTAATATATCTTTTTATAATACCACAAGTGACTCTGGTATAACAAAGCAGAGCTGTGCCAGAATGATTTAAAGCACAGTTACTTTTTTAGTAATCGTGTTTAAAGGGAAACCGCTCAATCCCATGGATTGCACCAAAGAATCATGGGACACTAATTGTTTATATTGTATACAATGCTAATCTATCTTTTGTTATCCATTGTTATTTTAATCCAGAAAGTAAATTTGTTGTGAAATTAGGCTTAACTGGAAGGTGCCCCTTTAAGCATTTTCTCTGTGGCTTCACCTACATAAATAAGCAATGATATGCTGACAACCTGCTTTGGGATGCTGAGTAGATAGGAAAAGTCAATCAAATAATAGTATCAGTGGGGTCCACCCTAAACCCAGGCAAAAATGGAATGGAATGGCAGCAGGCATGGCTCAATAGGCTAATCAGGCAAATGCAATACTGTTCAAGTTCAATGAGTATCTTATTTGAGTCCTCAACAGATGACTAATCTGTGGTTTATGATAGTAAAACACAATTCAACAGACTCACTTCTGTATCAAGCATTTTGGCATCATTTTTTGCACTTTTCTTAACAGCATCCAACTTTTTAGATTCAGCAGCCACATCGTTTTTAAAGCCACTGATCGTCACTCCATGATTCACAAAGACCCCAGGTAGAAATAATATACAGTAACTATTGTTTATAAAAAGAAATCCGGCCTAGGTTGTAGAGTAAATCTTTCTATCGAGGCCAAAAAATCAAACTTTTCACATTATATGTTAGATGTCAGCCTTCAATTATTGAAATTATGAAGAAGTGCTCTATCGATGTTGCACAATTTATCCAGTCAGGTATGAAAATCAGAGATGAATTATACATGTAACAGCTCACCAACCTAAGTAGTATTAGTGCTTTATACTAGCTTTTATTCGTCCTTTAAGTAATACATTTTTATTTATACGTAAGTGCTCTATCGATGTTGCACAATTTATCCAGTCAGGTATGAAAATCAGAGATGAATTATACATGTAACAGCTCACCAACCTAAGTAGTATTAGTGCTTTATACTAGCTTTTATTCGTCCTTTAAGTAATACATTTTTATTTATACGTAGTTTCTAGTTTAATCTTGTTCTTATTTGTTCGTAAATTTTTGTTTTTTTTCTTTTGTTTATACAAACCATAAAAACAACTTCTGTAGTATGTTTTTCGTGTTGAATAAAATTATTATTATTATGGATGGTCTGTAGCATACTGACACTAATTGAATTTTATGTAAGATTAGGTTTGTGATGTGGGTATTGTTAAAATAACTCGGACACACATACACACATACAATATCAAATAAATCAATTTACATAAAAAAAAGAGTGCTTTATTAAAATTACTATGCGTAAATAGAACTGCATAATTATCTACCAAAATAATAATTGCACATTTTACTAGCCAATTACTATGGCTAAAACTTAATTGCATATTAATTATACTCTTGCATAATTCAATTTACATAAGATAAAGAAGCATTGTTTTCTTGTAAAGTGATGTAAACTACTGTAAAACCTGTATTAAAAGTGCGACTTCTATTAAAATGGTACAATGCAACAGAGGGGATGCGGTTTCTATTAGAGCATCTACACATATGAGAAATGATGATTTTTTTGGTTCTCTATTGTTCAAAAAGTATGTGTGCGGCTTCTATTAGGAATACAGCTTCTAATACAGATTTAGGTGCCAAAAGTAAAATGTTATACTGTAAACTGTAAAGCCAAAACAGCTGTAACTATCAACCCTTTTTGACTGATTTTAAATAAAACTATTCCATTGTCATACAGCCTGACATAATAGTGTGCATCATATAACTGATTTCCTTGTGTAGGGTCATGTCTATGCAATTGTGTTTAAAACAATATTTTGGTAAGATTTCGTCATCTTTAAGTGGTCATATTTAAACAAAAAAATGTTTAAAATCAGCTATTGTTGCTTTACATTTTGTCAGTTGTACTTTCCAAGTATAGGATTCTGTCAAGAATGCCATATGTAAGTTACTTTGTGAGTAAACAATTTTGTAACAAATTATAGCAGAGAGTAAAACTTTTCATGATGATTGTTTAAAGGGCAGTGGTCGTCACACCGCACATGTGACTAATTACAGCCGCTTACATTTTTGATACCTTCCAACCACCTTAAGATACATAATTATAGCTTGGTAATGTCTATGTTTGATCTCATTGGTCTGCGCAACAGTCAAAGTTGCCATCTTGTTCATACAAGACACATATCTCGCACATGCTTGACGTGACCACTGCCCTTTAAAATATCTGATGCAGTATTAAGCAAGAGCAAAACTATATGTTAAAAAACTTGCTGTATGCATAAAAATGAAATTATTTAATCAAATCAAAGAAAAACATTCAGTTCTATATTATTAAACTGGGAAAATTATGTTTGTCATGTAAAGTTTTGAGTCTGGCTTTTGTATAGATTTATGGATGAAATCAATTTGTAAATATTTGATTTATGAATTTTGATTCACGCTACTTTGGTATATCATATCATAAAATTTATTATTTACATTCATTAGTATCAGATTGTTAATTTAATATATACACACTTCTTCCAGATGTAAAAAAGACCCTGAAAATGAGGCATTATATTAAAAATATAACCTATACAAATATACAGAACTGGTAACTACATGAATTTTGATTTATAAATAACTGGGGCAATATTCATATTTTTTTTTACAAAACATTGGTAGGGGACTGAAAAATAAACAAAGATTTTGTACTTGAAAGCATGACAGAAGATGACATACTTAGATATTAACCTGCTGGGAGGTCATTATTACATGACTAATTTATGTAGCACTGAAAATCATGATTATTACATAAACTTTATTAGTCAATATTGACCTCAGAGAGAATGGAGGTGATTATTTTCACATATTGGACGGATTAATGATTAGTGTAAATGGTATAATATACACAATCCTCCATAAATATACCCCAGACCATTCGTCCCGGTGTTATCGCTATCGCCACACGAGACTCCAGCTTGTCTCCTATACAATTTTCCTTCCGCCCACTTAATTTTAATATTCATATGACCTTTGCACTGACATCGATAGCCAATCGCATTCGACCGCGGACGTCACTCTAAATAAACAACTGAATAAATTAATATACCATATTTGGAAGATAGCGGGTAAATTCAACGTTGTTGGTGTGTTCCTTCGGGTTCCGAAGTCGCACGAAACGAGTTCATGTTCCGTTATCTTTCGCAAGTAAAACAGGTTGATATGTATTAAACATGGCATTTGTTTTCTTGTTTTAACCCCCTTATTACGCAAGCTTCCGTCGAAGTGGTGTTTTTTTCGACGATTTGTGGCATGTTGCAAAACGAATGAAACATTGCGGCATTCTTAGCGGTGGATAAGGGATCGACTATGTCGTCACATTTATGTCTCGTTTGAAAGAGAATAAACAACCGCTCAGAAAAATATGTTGCTAATATTTAAGTGCGGTGCCTTGAAATCGCCTGCCCGACGTCCAAATTTCAAAAGGATGTTCGATTTGC